ACTCAGTGCAGCAGTTGAGCCCCTTATGGCGCATTGCAGTAGCCACAAATTGTGGCTAATAATTAAGTGAAGGCGTACAAAATGACTGCAAAGCGATGGCCTACCCCACTTAAGTGCAAACTTTTATTACTCAAGAGCGATACATTTGTCTTATCTAAAGCAAGCGAGAAGAGAGGCAGCCCCACTAACCAGGTATTGGCCATAAAGGTTGTCGTCGTTGTCGATATCGCAGTTGTTGTTGTTGTTGTTGTTGTATGCCATAACACATTTCCGGTACTGGCCATAAAAATTGCTGTCGCTGTAAAAATATATATATGTATGTGGTGCACTCGCTGTGCAATTTGCAATTGTTTATTTATTGTAAGTGTCATTTTGCCAGCCAGTTGTGAGCAGTTGCGCTGCCAGTGCCCTTCATAATACATTTTGTTTTGTAATTACAACTCAATGTTATCTCTGTGCATATATATATATAAATAACTGATGGCTATGCCTCTTTGCATCTCAAGCTCGTTTCAGGTGTTGCCTAATTAGCATTGCTTCGAATACGGCAACAGAACAATTTCTTTTGATGACTAAGCCCGTAAGCCCTCTTGGGGTCTGTGCTCTCATGTATATCCTCCTCCTGAACGTGACATGATGTATCTCGTATAATTTTTCATAAACTCAAACCTAACTGACACGTACTTTACAACATGCAACAACAGCAACAACAAGCGCAACATTGACAGACATTTAAACATATACATACCCATTTTTTTTTTTTGTGTATCTGTCAGATACAAAAAGAAAAACCGCAGCGCACTTAACTGGCTGATAAGACAAAGCGCTAGAAAAGCAACAGCAACAGCAACAACAACAATAAAAACCCCATCAAGTAGCAAAGTTCGCGTGCATGTAATTTGTTGTTGTGTGTTTGTTATGTGTGCTGTGTGTTGTTGTTGTTGTTGTTGCCATGTTAACATGCAGAAAATGTGTAAAATGCCAAAAGGGGCCAGACCCATAGAGCACCCCGCCTGCACCTCTTTCGAGAGCCGCTGCGTGGCCTCCAGTCGTTTATCACCAGCCCCTTATCAGCGTCCACATTTGTCTTGGCTCGGCACGTTTGGCCTGACGGCCCAACTGTCAGACGGTACAAGTGCCTGACTGCCTGACTGCATAACTGTCTGACTGCCTGCCTGCCTGCCTGAGAAAGTGCAGAACGAAGACTCCAAAGGCCAAACAGCAACAGGTGTCTCTGCGTGCACTAAGAAAAATAATATACTTCTAAGAGGCAGTTCATTCTGTGTCTCAGCATTATTTCTCCCTCTGAAAATCATATTTACAATTTATGCAGATTTTTCCAAAACCAATAAATATTATATCTATTTTTTTTTGAGTGTAGGCATTCCATAGGCATTTATCGCAGCTCAAGTGCATAATTTCCTACAGCGCTTGGCACTCGTTATCCATTTTATTGACATGTTTGCTGAGCTCTCAGTGCGCAAAAAAAAAAAAAACAAAATAAATAAATGCAAACCAAATTGATAACTTAATTAATGGATTAGCAAAAGACTTAAACGTGAACTGTGCTAATGACGGTCGAGCAAGGGGAAGGGGCAGCCATGCAGTTACTAGGCACATGAGTGCCCCTGCATGCCCCGCTGTCCAGTGTTAGATAACAACACTGTGTACGCAGTCAGCCATTTTGCAAATAAGTCGTAGATAAAATAACTCAAGCCAAAGGTAAGCGAAAGTTTTACATACACATAAAATGGACTTTCACAAGGCGCTCAATTTATTTGATATGCCGGAAAAGATGAATGACACAACGAGGGGCAGAAGCTAACACTTAACACTTGAGAGAGTTATAATGGGGGTCTACAGTTCAGTTGGTTCATGATCTACTACGAGGTCTATAAGGTCTTCGTTAACATACTTTAACTCGAACTTCAAACGAGTCTTCTAATAATATTAACTCATAGTTCAAGTTTTGAGCTATTAACTTGTTTCAAATAACACACATTGAGACAACCAAACGCAATCCAAACGATTACAAAATCTGGTGCATTTGTTGTACTTTTGTACAATCGTTAGAGTTCACTATAAGTTAATTAACGCGAACTTTAACTATTCCAATTATTAGAGCATGCAATTTACAGCAATTCAGGTTTTCAGCCCGACGAGATAATTAAAGGGAACAAATGAAATCAGATTTAATAGTTGACTAACAAAAAATCAACGTGCCTAAACAACAACTGCAAACAATACTGACAAACATGTCATATATATTTTCATCAATAAAACAATATATAAGTATATATGTATATATATATGTAGATGCTTGTGGCGCGACATTGCTTTCAGCGCCACAGCGTTCAATCAATTTCAATTTCTGGAGACAGTTGTTAGTTTATTTTTTTCTTTTTGCCTTACGTTTTCTTAATTTTCCAAATTGAAAACGCTGACGCTGCACACGCACATTAATTCTAATCAATTTCTTCAGGCACTTGTGGCACTAAAAAATAAGTGCCCAAATAACCACAAAAAGATCCCTTAGTCAGTGCCCCAGCCACCATGGGACGCCACTTAATCAAAATGGGGAGAGAGAGATATATTCCCAAAGGACGGTTGAACTCCGAACAGGACTTTTACTTTCTCGACCTCCTCAGACATGCTGTTAATTAATGCCCGAAGACATCGCTTTGGTATATTTCGGCTACCACTTGTCGCTGGGTTTTCGATTACAATTTATTGGTGGCGGCGGCACAGCGCTCAATTAAGTGCGATTAGATTTGCTGAAAGTCGTCGAGAAGACGTTCACTGTATTCGAGATAAGGTAGCCATGGACTTGCTGCTTATCAGTGGAACAGGTCACGCCTAAGCATTTGCCGATAAGATGCCAGTGAAGAGAGTGAGAGTCTAGGAAATGATACGAGAGAGCTACGTGAGTGGTCTTTGCCGGGCAGGATTTATGGCCTTCAGAGTTTCAGTTTGTTGGTATATTGCTGCCTATTTATAGCTTGGCACTTGCCGCCTTCCAATTGCCTTTCAATCAATTGAAATTAGTTGGAAATCAACATCAACAACAGGAACACAACAACGCAGAAGACTATTAATAACTGATTTTATTCGCTGGTGCAAGCAGTGCCATTAATTTCATGGCCCTAGATGGACAGCTGGCACTCAGACACACGTCCAGCACGATGGACTCTGGCTGGAGGATAGTGCAACTATTAATTGCCAGCAGTCAGCAGCATGCTAATAGACCCTTATGCCTACTCCATCTCCAGCTCCATCTTCATCTTCATCTTCATCTCTCTACCTCTCTTGAAACCTATGCGAACGGAAAGCCATCTGCAATGTTTTCCGCTCTTTACATTTTGAAATCTAAGCTCTTGTATCTGCTGCTGCTATCCCCTTGTGCTCCTCCCTCCCATTTGAATATATACAGTCGGCAATCTGCAATGGTCTTCTCGGGCTAACCGGCTTTGGCTTTGGAGCTAGGAGCGTCAATTACTTTTCGCTTTTTTGCGCATTTGGAGCACATTTATTTTAATCTCACCTGGGCCTGAGCGTTGTTTGCTCATGTGATGGATGCAGCTGCAAGTGCAGTTTACCTCCCTCTTCAATCTCTCAATCTGCTCAGCACACTCAGTGCATTGTGTATTGGATATCTTTAATTACGGCAGTACTTAGTGTCAGCGACTATTACACTAAAACAAGTATTGCCATCGATCACTCGCCTGCCTTCAAGATTATGTCTTGTAATTAGTTTTTGCTTTCATTGCATTAAGCCAGAAAGAGAGTGGAATGAGTGCTCTAAAAGCTCATGCTGATAGGTAAACAAATTTATTATTACTTTACTGATCAACTTGTGGAAATAGGTCCAAATTTGTTTAGCGTCTACACTTGTTTGTCAAGCCTGATAACAGTCTATAAATATTAATTCACTTCAAGGTCAATTGTAGAGAAATATTTGCAGAGAGGTTGGCAACAGGAGGTGGGGCATGTAAATATATAGATTTACATTTTTAATTATCTCAAAACTTAACAAGGAGGAACGAATCTTTATTTTTATTAAAGATAAACAAAAGACTTGCTAAGAAAATACGACACAAAGAACTAGCCTCAACATAAAAAGTATGAATAATAAATTTCAAAGTAATTATATTTATAGTTAAGCAATAGTGTATAATAAGTATAAATTCTTTCAGATTATTATTATATACAATTATTATATACATATACATTATATATATATTATTATAATAGATTAAATAGCCTTCCGTTTCTTTCTTGGAATGTATAATAAATATTACAAAATTCTTATAAATGCCTAATCGATTGAAAAGCCTTCGGTTTCTGCTAGTCAAAGCTAAGTTGCTAAACTTTATCAATCCTATGGCTGGCTATCTAATCATTACTGTTGCCAAACAAGTCAAGATAACTGCGGGAGGGAATCACACACGGATGCAGTGATGAACTCATTGTTTTCACGAGTGTTAACTGTTTTCGCACTTGTGGGTTGTGGCAACGGGCCTGGGGCAGCTGTTGAGAGTTATCACACGGCTCCGAAAGATATCGCACCTGAGTAATAAATATATATAATACACACATGTATGTATTGACTAGTATATATATATATATTAAGTATAACTGGCACATCAAACGGTCTGCTGAGGTGATAACGAATGCAAAATTGCGGACATTTTGCTGCTGTTGCTGTTGCTGCTGCCAACTGGAAAACTAGAAAAGTGGCAGCTGCCTGGCTCAATTCGAGTGTTTATTTTATTTTTTTGTCAAGATAGCTGAGAGATCCGTTACAATTTCCGGACACGAACTGCAGTTGAACGCGCCTGTCACAACAACAACTCGAAAGGATGCGACTACCGCGTTCCCTGTCAGATTTCGCTGTTAATGAGTTGTCCATGACTTAATCGGAGTGGCTGCATCTCACAGATATACATATACAGATATAAAGTTAGTTGGTTTATTGATATGATTGGCTAACCGATACTAACCGATTTAATGCGAACGCGTCGAGAGACGGGCACATCGTAGTCGAGGTCCGCATTTGTGGCAATCGAGCTGCAGCAGGATTCAGGCACTGAGATTAAGCTTTGATTGTCCAGCATTTTTGATGAGTTTTCTCGTTCGTATTTCGTTTTTCGAGTATTAACTTTGATTCATGAACAGTTGCTTGGCTTATTGACTTGGCTGGGACATGTTGGTCGTTCAATCGAGATACCCAAATATATTTAATCCAGGACAATATAGATAAAGTATCTCGACTTTGACTCGTTCGCTGTGTACTTCACTTAACTCCACTTCACGTCACTTATTCTCAGTGTATCTCTTTCTCAAGCACAATGCTCGCATCAGCATATGTTTTTGGACTCTTATTTTTGTTTTGTTTTCTTGGTTTTATTTTGGTTTTACTGCTTTTTGCGGAATCAGCTTAAAAATTCAAGTTTTACCCGCGGGGCCACAACAAATTCGCCAAACGCAAAAAACACACACTAAAAAACCATTCGTGAAGTTTTAACAAAAGATGACCCAGCTACAATAGCAACATAAACCGATTCGTTTGGTTTTATTACTGGCTGGCCGACATGTGTTTGCTGTTTGCTGAATTATAGCGATTTATATCGCTGTCTTCTTATCGCCTTTTTACTCAATAGCGTTTCTAATCGCCACGAAAAACAATAAGACTCGCAACAAAATTTTCAATACGACAATTTTGGTTTGTTGTGCGCTGTCCGCTCAGCACTCAAAACGCTCCGCACCATTGGAAACTACACAAGCAACTGAATAGCTAGCGGATTGCAATGCCCTCAGCCGGTGTTGCTGTTCACCACCAACATTTGTTGTGTTTATACCCTTATGCAGAGTACCACGATTTGTTGGTGCGATTGGCGCACTCATTTCAAATTACAGACATTGAGACATCATACACACAAAATGCACACTCAAATACTCTGTAAGAGTATACAAGTAGCGCCTTTATATATTCTCTTTGCCTGCACACATTTACTCTCTTCTGCTCTCTTAGCGACATGAGTTCGGCAAGCGTTCGGCTTGCGTTTGTGTTAAGCCGATTGTGTTCGATCCAACTCGGCTGTGTTCGTACTTTTAGTACTATTTCGAAGCGCAGTGAGTTTGAAAAAGGTAGTAGATACCTTTACTTCTTTTTAATATAGTAGTGCTTTATAAAATTGGAACGATTTCATAGAATTTCTGTAACTTTAGCAGCGTATTGGAATTCTAATGAGTTTGCGATCTATTTAAGAGTAACTTCAAACCTTTTATCATCGATGTCTCATTCGTAGTTCACTGGCCCCTTCATATCCAATATTCTATTTATGCTGGACATCTCAAATATTATTGGGTTATATGAGAAACGAGCCCCCATTAAATTTCACTGAGCTATATCTATTGTAAGAGAATACCCTTCATATATTTGTCATAACATATCGAATGCAGACAGTTTTTATGAGACAAACATGAGTTTAGCCAAAGATGATACAAGAAAGCTCACATTACCCATAAGTGGAAGGGTGATTGGGAGGGGAGAGGCGGGATAGGAGTAGGAGCTTAAGTAACAGTAGCAACTGCAGCTGTCCAAACAAATCGAGAAGAACAATTCAATTCGTGTGCTTCTCTCTCTCGACGCCCCTCCCTCAACTCGTGCCAAAAATGGGGGGCGTGAGTTTTTGTCGCCTTCAACAGCTGCAATGTATGCAGACAATGACAATTGATGCCCTCCCCCTCTCCTCCGTAAGGGACGAAACCGACGCATTTTCGTGTTGTGACTCGCTTTGCCTGAGCATGCATGCGATTACGAAAGGGTATCCGCAACAAGTCAATGCCGAAGAAGGTCAGGCAACCCGTTCAACGCGACCAATGCCAGCAACAAAAGGAAGCAGAACCAGAACCAGAGACGAGTAGACGGGGGGAGCAGCGAGTAGAGCTGTGAGCCGTGAGCTGAGAGCTTGCAGCTGCAATCTGTGAAGTTGGTAGTGACATTTGACATGATTTGCATGCCAAGTGCCACGCCCACGTCACTCAAACTGACAGGGCAGCGAGAGCGAACAGTAAAGAGTTAGTATATGTTCCGGGTGGGTAATACGTTGATGAACCCGAACCCGAACCCGCAGTCGCTGCCGTTGCCGTCACATTGACAGACACTCGCTGAGTTTTTATTGTCGCTTTCAGTTTGGATTTGATTTAATTTGATTTGATACCAGCTGAAGAAGAAGACACCGATTTTCAGAGTGTTTTCCTCCGTCTTCGCTTTCTATCAATTAGTTTTATTACTCGACTCTTTTGAAGTTCTTATCACAATCATTAAAACTAACCATATATTGATTATTATAAGCAGGGCATATGCGATGCGTGGGTTGTGATTTTGGTAAGCATTTAATAGCCACATTTTTGTTGTCGTTTTGCCTTTAAAGTTTTTCAAATAGTCACTGCATATTTTGCACTCTAATTGGACAGAAAACAAAAAGCGACTCTATGTCTAACTATGTCCATCTCTTTCTGCTGTGGTATGTGCATTATCCTGCCTTAAGGCCATTATCATTATGCCATTGTCTGTTTGGCAACAATAACAGCATGTCCTCATCGTCTGTCCCTTTGACACCGTCACGCTTGGGTTCTCCTATATATATATATATATATATATATATATATATGTATATGTGTGTGTGTGCTGGGGTGGGTCCATTTCCATTGCCACTTTCCATGCCGTTTGTTTTTCCATTCCGCATGCAGAGCTGCTTTTCCAATTTCAAGCGAACAATTAAACGAGAGCCTCAGTTTTTCTATCGAGGCCCGCATTCCATGGAATTAGTCGGCAATTTTGTTCGAGCAAAAAAGGCAAAGGGTCGGTCAAAGGTTATTAGTTGAGGGTGGAAAAACTGCCAGCAGCTGACCACTGGACCGCATCTCTAATTGCCTTGTTACGAGTTCAATTTTGGAGCATCCACTCAACAGCAGCCACTCAAAAGCCACCTACAACACACATATGTCTTTATTATTTGCCACAATTTGGGCATATCAAATATGTAAATGGAATCCTCACTCTTAAACCCGCATGACACCTCATAACAAGATGGAATGTTGTTGTTTGCAATTTGGAAGCTGAATAAATAATCTATGCAAATGCGACCACGCATCATAAATATGGACATCCAAAATGTTCATGTCTATATCTATATCTATATACATATATATATATAAAAACAACTTCTTGGCATCTGCCCGACGTTTGCACAATACAAATTTGTAGGCGTCATATCTTTTAACTAAAATATTGTGTTGTTTATTTTATTTTTCCCTCCGTCTGCCTGTCTTTGTCTCTAGGGAATAATGGCACCTGCTTGTAGCAGGTAAAAAATTCGATTGCCAAACAACTTGAGAATTGAAAGGCCCCAACACGTCCATTTCTCAATATAGCAATCAGTGTCAGGCAGTGTTTATGGCAAATGTTTGTCTCCACCTAATTGAGCAATTTGTATGGCTGGCGAACAACAAATGAAGAATGACTTTTTATTGCACATTTGTGTCACCATCTAGATTCTGGAATCTACCCACACCAACAGAGGAATACTCCACACACACACACACACACACACTAATGAAAAACTGCCTGAAAGTTGAACTCTCCCCTGGGCTCTGTCTAACGATGTCGCCATTCAGCTATAACTTTATTATCCTATTGTGTTGCAATCGATAATTGTGTCAGCTGATAGAATTGTTCTTAAAACTACAGCAGGATCAAATTTCTGAGGTTTTTGCAATAACCGAAATGGAAATAAAATTTAAAATATAATTATTTTTCCATCTGGAGGAAGCTTTCCTAGAAATATATATATATTTAATCTATTTGTATCTATAGATATTAATATATATTAAAGTTTAAAAACACCAGCAGTTCCTGCGTACCTCCAAATATATCTAGGGTTGTAGGTCGCGCATTACGAGCACTCAATAATCTCTTGTTACACAAGTCAAACAAGATAACTCCCTCGAGGAAAGGAGTGTTGCCCTTCTGACCATTGTCAAGGCTTGTCCCGGGCACCAGTTACCAATCAGCAGGCCATCAGTCGAGGTTGACTTTCATTAAGATGCACATCTTAATTGCGCCCACAGCTGTGCCTCGTTGAAGACGATCCTTTCAACTTTCCAACCAAAAATTGGGCACGTCGTGCGGCATCTATTGTTTTACACACTTGGCGTGGGGAGGGGAAAAGTCCCCAGATAATTGATGAATTTATGGCACAACATGAAGTATATACTTCCAGACATTTTCGACTGTTTGCCACATCACTTTTACTGATTGCGATTGCTGCTGCGGCTTATCACGCCTCGCTGCAGCTGATGAAGTGCACCCGGCTGTTTCTCTAATTGGACTCTCCCACTCTCTCTCTCTCTCTCTCTCTCTCTCTGTTCCTCTCCCCTTTCCTCTCTCTATAGGAAAGAACGCCACTTGCCGTCGGTTGGTTTAATAGATTCTGGGAACTACAAAATGCATTTTTGGGCTCTGCTTCGCCCCATTTCCAATCTGTGTTCATTGCTCTTTGTTGCCGACATTCGACTCTTGATGTGCTTCAGCTATTGAGATTGGGAGGCTTTCCAGTGGCCAAAGTAGAAGCAAGCGAAATCAACCATTGTTGATGATGTCGTTGCTGTTGTTGTTTTTGTTGTTCTTATTCTTTTTATGGCTGTGATTTTGCATTGTTTTTCGAATGTGGCACGTTCTGTGCATTTATGGAGCACGCATTGCCAATCCCAAGAGCCCAAAAAAGAGTTGACCACTCGTTTGAAAGTCAAATCCGCAGATAGGGGAATAGCAGCGAATGCAAAGTGTTGCACAACATGTGGCAAAACAATGATATTTACCCACAAACACATGCATATCATATGTTTAACCCATAAGATAAGTTAAGATCGCAAGAGAGAAGACAGCATCTACAATATTCGAAGCAGAATAAAATTTCTTAAATTGAATACTTCATAAATTTCATAAGATTTCCTTTCTTAATGCCTATATCCCTCACCTTTCATCCCTCATCACATTACATCTATCTTAGATCTCATATTTCCAAATTCTAAACTGCTTTTAACGTCTTTACCGCCCTCTGTGTACTTTTCCCCCAACTCAATGGGTCAATTGGCCTGCTCAGGCAATTTAGAAATAAAATTAATGGTTTTGTACATTCAAAGAGTTAACGACTCCATCAACGGCAATCACATTTGGGCGACTTCCAAAATAAACGAGCCTCCATTTTTCACAGACGCCAAAAAGGCAATAAGCAATACGCAAATCTCACAGACTTTGCCTCAATTTCTGTCGGCAAATTTCACACATTGTGCAAGGCCTAAAAATAAGAATGAAAAGAAAAATAAAGAAATAAAAAGAAAAACTAAAGAAATATGGCATTTGGGTGAGTAAATATTGCGAGGAGCACATTTGGGGCGGGGGGGGGCCCTAAGTAAATCGTTGGCAGCTGCGGCGCCTTTGACAATTTGCCGCCTCGCCTTGTTCTAATCTGACTTGGCTGCTGACTCCTAATCCGGAGCTGTGTGGCAGTTTCCTGACGCGATCGCTGTTGCACATCACATTGTGCCACCCAGCGATAATAACAAACAATTTGTTTGTTTGTCCACATACATAAACACACACACACACACCGACTCACACACAGAATGAGAATGGAAGGGGGCCTGGCTGCATTTTGCTCGTGTTTGCATAATTCATGAGATTCGCTTGTTGCAGTTGCAAGTTACAAGTTGCACCCACAT